AGAACCAGAAATAATGGGTTTAAACTGCAGCAAGGGAGGTCTAGGTTGGACATTAGGAAAAAGTTCCTAACTGTCAGGGTGGTTAAACACTGGAACAAATTGCCTAGGGAGGTTGTGGAATCTCTGTCTCTGGAGATATTTAAGAGTAGGTTAGATAAATGTCTATCAGGGATGGTCTAGACAGTATTTGGTCCTGCCATGCGGGCAGGGGACTGGACTCGATGACCTCTCGAGGTCCCTTCCAGTCCTATAATCTATGAATCTATGGATGCAGTGCTACTTTGAATTTTGAGGGATCTGTTCTCTCTGTTTTCTGTTTTAATCAATCAGAATAAGACAATAGCATCAAACATTAATTTGTTGTACCACACAACTGCAAGTACAGTAGTATTTGTTTTTTTTCTCTGACACTGCCTGATTGCATACTTCCGGTTCCAAATGAGGTGTGTAGTTGGCTGCTCAGTTCATAACTCAGGTGTTCATAACTCTGAGGTTCTACTGTAATGTGATGTGAATTAGCCTTTCCATCGTAGACCATATGGCTAAAATATGCATTGGTGCACAAAATGAAATTAGGTTTCTCTCTCTAATCAACACACTGTTGGACACGCATAGCCATTGAAATATGGCATTGGATTACTTGTCATTGTTTTCTCAAGAGAAGCTCAGTTATCTGTTTAGAAGTGAACATTAAGGTCAGTGGCTAAGCTGTAACTGCTTTCTCTGTTAAGATCAACCAATGCAATTATTGTTTGTATCTCTGTTCCTGGACTAGGTCTCCTTGAGTTGCTATATCACTTCCCCCCTCACCCTTTTTTGTGTTTTTATAAAGATGGGAACCAACAAGTGTGCCAGCCAGGCAGGTATGACTGCTTATGGGACCAGAAGACATCTCTATGATCCAAAAATGCAAACTGATAAACCATTTGACCAGACAACAATTAGCCTACAGATGGGTACTAACAAAGGGGCCAGTCAGGTAAGCAAGGTTACATGTGATACAGTATTTCAAAATTAGCTATTGTCATGACACTGCAACACTCCAGTGAGCAAGCAGGTAGGTGACGGGCTGAAGGAGTGGATCTGCATCTTGCTAAGGGAGTCTTCAATTGAGACCTGGGGAGGGCACTGTACCAGCAGTACTCCCTTGAGTCTCTTGTGGGCACATGATCTGCTTCCTGCTGAGAAGAACTAGAGGGAACAAAAAACAGTGCCTACAGCAAGCACCTTTCTCTGGCTGTATTGTCAGAAAAGTAAGAGGAAGCATCATTTCACATACTCACTAACCAAAACCAAAACGAAAGACAGCTCCCTAGGCAGTATGCTGGTTGAATGTCCACCATCCCTTTTGCAACATCCAAAAGGGGGGCATGCTGGGCATCTTACTAGGGCCTTCCCCCTAGGGGTTGTAGAGCTATAGCTTAACTTTTTCACTGGTGTGTTTAGTAGATGTTCACTGTTGGTCCTATAATATTGTATTTTAAATCACTTTTACTGTTCAGCTTCTACAAGTGGATGCTGTACGTACAGAACTCAGTGAAATTCATTGTCAAGATTAACTGAATTTAAGGGTAACCTTACCATAAATTTACTTCGTTATTATCCTGTTTCACTAGGCTGGGATGCTGGCACCAGGCACCAGAAGAGATATTTATGACCAGAAGCTCACATTACAGCCAGTGGACAACTCTACTATTTCACTACAAATGGGTACCAACAAAGTGGCTTCCCAGAAGGGAATGAGCGTGTACGGGCTTGGACGACAAGTGTATGACCCCAAATATTGTGCTGCTCCAACAGAACCTGTAATTCATAATGGAAGCCAAGGAACAGGAACTAATGGGTCAGAAATCAGCGATAGTGATTATCAGGCAGAATATCCAGATGACTATCCTAGCGAGTACCAAGATGACTATCAAAGAGATTACCATGGTCAGTACAGTGACCAGGGCATTGATTATTAGATCTGTATCAAAAGCTCAGTATATTAGTCCATTATTTTATTCAGTAAAAACAAAACTAGCCTTGTGGAATTGTTACCCGTCTTCCTACACACTATGCTTAAAGAAAGATTGCCTTACATACATTCCTTTTTCCTTTCTCTGCCCTTTCCCTCTTCTAGTTGCCTTTAGTGCTGTAACAGTTGTAGTCTACAGCATAACCAATAACTGCATATGAAGTAAAAAGGAATACTGTGAAAGGGGAGTACTCTTGTACAGCCAATTCTTTTAATAAAGATCTATGCATCTTCACAATCCCCTACTTAAATAGGTATTTACACACAACATCCACCCCTCATTTTACTTATTTAGTACTTACCTAATTTCTGCATGGAATACTGAAAAGACTTCCATGCTTACGTTAAATGCTAAAGTTAAGCTGCAGTATATTAGTAAATAATTACTTTATTTCTGCAGTATGGTTTGCTTATGTTTAAAGTCAGACAGTAGACAGGATAAATGTGCATTTGTGATTAATTGTGTATTCATTCCATTATCTAAACTGACCAAACTCCTAGATATAGTTGTCGTACTAAAAAGGGAGCTTGTACAAAGTCCTTGAGCCCGCAGAAGTCCCATGTTTTGATGGTGCATTTATTTTTGTTTGTGCCATAATATATCCATGTAGAAATGCTTTTTCTTCCTTGAACTGTATTTATTGCCACATTTCTCATCATAAACTGATCCCATTGTATTTTTATAAATATTTTTTTCTTGAAGGTACATGACTTTGATGTCTCATTCATTTGTTACATTACCATTAGTTACCACAGAAATTATTCCCAAATCTTATTCTTGGCTGTGTCAAGGTAATCTAGAACCCCCACAGCTCAGGAAATGTGCAAATGGTTCTGAAAAAAAATTCTAGTGTACCTGTGTCAGGCAACAGTATGAAATGTTCTTTTCAACATCCGAGTCCTAGAAAGGGAGGGAATCCCCTGCAGATCGTAACTGGGAGCAGTATACAGAAGAGAATACTCTCTACAATCCCATGAGCTACCTAGGGCATGGGTGGAGCATCTGTAGGGTTTCACTAGGTCCTCCTCCCTAAGGTCGAGAGCAATATTGTCTGTTTACACATTCTGCAGGGACCTGCTCTGCTTACCCTCTCTCATTTCCCCCAGACACCTGTAGGTAAGAAGCAGACCTCAACTTGAAACATGGAGTTTGTACTGACCCCTGTGAGAATAATCTGTGGAGGGGAGAATAGCGGCTTATGACTAAAATGCAATTACAAAATCCAGAATCATACAATTTGGGAATAGGAAGAGTTGCAGAATTACTACAGAGCCTCTGCTTTGGCCTATACCCTTGACATGGCCAGTATGTACATGCATAGCATATCTGCTACTCAGAGGTGGTGCTTCAACTAACACTTAACAGAGCATTAAGTATAGCATTCAAAAACTACAAGCATACATGTTTTAGGCAGCTGCTAGCAAACAACAAAAAATAAGGGCATTCTTTGTGAATGGACTAGAAGGCTGTCTCCCTCGGTGTGGACTACTGAGAAGCAACACTAAGGGTCTGTCTACGCTTGAAACACTATAGTGGCATCGCTGTAGCATTTAAGTGTAGATATACCTATACTGACAGGAAGGCTTTACCTGTTGGTGTAGGTAATCCACCTCTTCCATCAACCTAGCATTGTCTACAGTGGAGGTTAGGTTGGCCGCAACTGTTGCTCAGGCCTGTGGCTTTTTCAACTCCCGGAGCAAGATAGCTGTAGACCAGGCCTATATTATTTGCCTTCTCTAACCACTTTAACAATAGCCTAACACTAGGGCTCCCGGAGATGCTAACAAAGCTGTCCCAACATTAGCAGTGGAAGGGGGACAGTTAAACAACTGTAGATGGGGTCCTTGCTGTGAGTACTTAAGGAGTCATACTAATAGCAAGGCATCCTGAGCTTGTGAAAGGCCCTTCCGTCAGGAAGATAAACAAACTGCCTGTTTGTTACTGAGTTCCTGCTGTTTGTTTTTGATATGGTTTGATATCAGGCATTTTCAGCTGGCCTGTTGACTGTAGCTTAGCTATTTATGTCTATCATCCTGAAGTAGCTGCCTGAGTCAACAGAATTAAAATAACCATTTCACATATTAAGGGAGGGGAAAGGAACTGTCCATCAAACCTGTGAACTATTATTTTTACTGCAGTTAGTCCTGTATAGGACAGCATAGGAATTACATCCCTATGAAGGTAATTCGTCTCAGTGCCCACCTATCATGTTAAACAAAATGCTTAAAAGCAGTATTATGATTACTATGTCAGTTATGCCATATTGATAAGTTTATTTTTTTAAAATGCAAGCTCCAGGAAAGTAGTTTAAACTAATCATGCTCATTAGGACCACAATCCTGGTCCAACTGTCAATAGTGCAGGATCAGACTCAAATACATATAATTTCCCCCCATTATGCAACAGGGACCAAGTTAATTAGCATGAAATGTGCAAATCACTTTCCTCAAACACAAGTTTTCATTTTTCAGTGGTTTAAGGCATCATGACTCTGAATTCAGTGGACAGTCCACACTGAGGCATGAGGAAATACCCACACAATACTTAAAAATACACTTCTCTAAATTTCATACCAACTAACTAGTTGGTATATACAGTCAAATGTCATTACCTGTTTTCTTAAAAGCCCGTGCTTTGTGTACAAGTGTTTTTCAAATTCATGTACTTTGGAATGTACTCTAAAATTGATTAATACACTAATCCTGATGTCAGTCACTTAATGCTGTACTGTCATGCTCATGACTTCCAGAGGGCAGACCTGTACAGGCCAGACTAGTGCTGTACATCTGAAACATACTCCAGTACCTGCAACATCCCTTCTGATTTTAAAGTTCCTCACTAAGAAGTGAGAGTGCCTGTCAACTGCCAAATTTTATAAAGACCTTTATCCACAGAAAAGGTGCTCTAAGGGCAGTGGCATTGCAGCCTTCACCACAATGTCTTAAAGCTGGTCTTAGATGAGAAGGTATGCTTTTCAAAATAGACCTACCTTCCTTCCTTCCTTCCCTCTGCCCTTCTAGAAAGACATATTGAGTCAAGGCCCTTACTTATCCAGACTAATGGAAATTCCATTTAGCAGCATGGGCTTTGCACTGAGGAAAAAGCTACTCTTCAGCAGTAAAATACCCTCCTAACTTTGTGATTTAATTCTTAATCTGAGTCCATTATGCTTTGTAGACTGATAAAATTAAGGGGATGTTTATTAGGTACTATAACTTGTTTATCACAATTCTTAAGATAGTCATTTTAGAAGTCTCTCTGAGGAGTTCTTTAGAATGGAAGCCCAACCCCACTCTAGCAATGTGCAACAGGTTTGGTCCTGCCTCTTAAAGTTGCAGATCAGAGGAATGGAGAGCTAAGACATTAAGACACATCAGAATCAGATTTTACTTTTAACAGTCTGCAAAAAGTGAAACTGACCAACCTAGTTTTACAGCAACATGTAAACAGCATAAATGGTGAAAAGTAAGTAAAGGCAACTGAATATAGGACATCAAAAGACTAAACGCATTAAGTTGGCAGTTGCACCTGACAACATTCGATATTCAAGTGCTCTAAAGTACCTTTTAAAATGATCAATTAGGCATTCTTTGAAAGAGATGTAGTTAAACATATTTGGGAAGTGTCTATTTCACACACAAGCTCATGTTCCTATTTAAATGCTTAATTGCAAGAATTGTCCTTCCTTTCCCACTTCTAGCAGATGTAGTAATGTATTAGTAAATATGGAAAGATGACACATACTGCATAAAATAAACCCCAAACTCAAACAATAGGAAACCATTAAAAGATGTATGTGGGAGAACATGGAGATGAAACAATGATGAAAGACTACTGTTAACTTGGTCTGGAAATTAAATGCAATATAGTTTAACTGTCCTCCAACACACTGGAGTGAGAGAAGGTAGCTAGTCAGTAATCCACAAATTTTCTTAACATACTCAAGTTTTTCAAGGCAAGGAAAAAACTTCCCTCTGTAATAACACTGTACAAGTTTAAGGGACTATACCACATTATTGTAAGACAAATCCAGGACTTTCTTTTGAGAAGAAAAGATATGCGGTTAAGTATCCATGGCCATTCAGTATCCTACCTATCAGGTTTCTGAAGTCTTAAGTCAAATTTTTAAAATAGGAATGTGCACAAGGATTCTGAAGACTGCCTCTGCATTTCTCGAAAGCTTGTACCTTCTACCAACAGAAGTTGGTCTAGTAAATTACCATCTCACCTACCTTGTCTCTCATACATCCTGCGACCAATATGGCTTCAACACCACTGCAAACAACTATGGAAGATACTGTACTTAAATATCATGTCTCCTTTTCTTTGGCTTTAGGGTCCCTGCACTGGTTTACATTTACCATTCTAAACTATACTCCAGTTTCTGACATATAACCTCCCACTTAAAAGATACTAAGTTTTTCTATTTTAAAATTTCTTGTAAAATGAAGTTTTATAAATGATTTCCTACTTCCCTATTGGTGTTTAGGAGTCTTTTCAGCAACAGAGAAACTGATTATAGATAAAGTGCTATCAAATGCACAAAACAAACTTACATGACAGAAAAAAAAAATCCAACTTTTGTTATAGTCACACTAGGGGTTGCTTGCATCTATCATGGCTACTAAATTTTCAGTCAAGGACTATTTTCAAGATGATTATGTTTCTTTAATTAGGAAGGACTCTTGAGTGGATGAAGTACATTACATGCTGTCCTCTATTTGGCTTGAAGGCTGCTGATCTAACAATAAGAATATTGGGTCAAAGGACTAACCTATATAAGTTGTCCTGACACTGTCTAAAGGTAGGGTAGATACTCAAACAGGCAAAGAAGGAATACAAATGAATCATTAGTAATAGCTTATCAAAGATAGGCTAACAGACTTTCTTACCTTGTCCTTGCCAATTGGGTAGAGCAGCTATTAGTATGTTCAGGCTCTCACATAGTAGGAATTCACTTCTGGGAGCCAGAAGCGAAGTAAATGAACTAAGTTTAGTCCCCCTCACAATAGTTTGATATACTTCCACTGAACATAGGTGTAAACGTGACTGGAGAAGCTTTCACAGTGCCTGGCTGAGCTATGTACCACATGGGTCAGTCTCCTTTTACAGTAGAACCTCAGAATTATGATCACCAGAGTTATGAACTGACCAGTCAACCACACACATCATTTGGAACCAGAAGTGTGAAATCAGGCAGCAGCACACACACAAAAACAAATACCATACAGTACTGTGTTAAATGTAATCTACTAAAAAAATAAAGGGAAAGCAGCATTTTTCTTCTGCATAGTAAAGTTTCAAAGATGTACTAAATCAATGTTCAGCTGTAAACTTTTGAAAAAAACACCATAACATTTTGTTCAGAGTTGCAAACACTTCAGTTACAAACAACCTCCATTCCTGAGGTGTTTGTAACTGTGAGGTTCTATTATACTAAACTCTCTCAACGCTGGACTCAACTGCCCTGTCCCATGAGAAGAACCTCAGTAGGGGGCTAAAGGGGAAGAAATCTCCATAATGTTTCCCTTGTGGAATTTTCTCCCCAGTGCTTGGGTTTTCAGGCCAGGCTTACTGCTCATGTGGAAAAGGCTGCAGGTCCTGCCCCCAAACACTAAGTTCTCCTGGGACAAGCAGGAAACTGGGTCTGTCCTTATAGAGGACTCATGTCTCTGGCCATCCCAGTAGCAATAGGGTTTTCACAGCCAGTGGCTGTCCCTGCAATCCCTTATATACAGCCTCTGGGGATGACCTCACCCGCTGCCCTCCCCTGCATGGATCCCCAGGCCTATGGAGTGTTAATATCTGGCTGAAAACATGGGGGATACGGATACGGAAATGCTGACAGAAATGTTTAAACCTCCTTTTCACGTGGCAGGGGGAGGAGAGAGGGAATCCATAGATTTCAATGGAATGGTCTGACCAATTTTTATTAAAAGACAAGAGAATTGCCACGAATTGCCTTTGCTGCCTCTGATATTTCCTCGGTTATTAAACTCTGTCCTCCTCCACCTTTGTCTTTGTTCTTTAGGGCAGCAAAGACAGGAACTTTCTCTTACCTGCAGAAATGTTCCAGCTCGTAGACTGAAACCATCTGTACTACCTGTATATCTCTGCTAGAGACATGTGGTCTCCCACTCAATCCTGCCTTCAAACAGGCAGTTAAAGCTGCTCTGGGGGGGGAAAAAGGATTGTGTAGCACTGAGTAAAAATCGACCATCAGATCTAGATGAATTAAAAACAAAACCTCACTATAATATCCTGATCTTTTGAAATCTTTTCCAATTTCCTCCCAAAAGATAGAGAAATGGACCCATGTATCTCACAAAATGAGAAAATTTATGACATCCAGAATCCAAATACACCCCAGAGCTCAACGAAACTTCAATTGTGCATAAAAAGACATTCCCTCATGCTCTTTGAGGGTTTTATTATTATTATTTAAACTTTGTCTTCTCCTTCAGCATCTCTTCTGGAGGCTCCTCCTCTCCTCCCGAGTCTTCTTAGGACTCCATCCTTTGTCATCTCTTCACTCTCTCCCCATGAGGTAATTTCCTTCACTCCCCAAACTACCACTTCTATGCCAGAAACTTCCACATCTACTTCTTCACCCCAATGTCTCAACCTCTGTCCAGTCACGTCTGCCTCTCTACGACATTTCATCCTATGATCTCAGATCAACATCAAGAGCCCACCTTATTTTCCCTGCTTTCTGTCACATACTAAATGTCTGTTCATTTTAATTTACAAACGTTAGTACATCTAGAGGAACCAAAGGGCTGTTCATAATTTTCCTCCTCACCAAGACCACCCATCCACCTGCACAAAAAAACCCTCCCTAAACCAAAAAACAACCGACCAACCTCCCACAAACCCCACATACCTCATAGCCATTGTCTTGGCTAAGGGAAACTGGAGATAATTTCCTTCCAATGGCTTCAATGTTGCTCCTTAATTGAGTTTAGTGGTTATTAAGGGATATTAAATAGTCCAAATGGGAATGATCTAAAAGAACCTTCTTTACAGTTCTGTGCATCAACTGACCCAGGGACTATTGGCCAATATTTTCCATATAGGTGCATACAGAATTACTGCTGGGTCCCGTCAGCTGACTTATCAAGCGGGTCCGATACCAAAAGGATAGTTCTTGGACTTTGTCAACTTACTGTTTTCAAGCAGCACCACAAATCTTACAGGAGATTTTTTTATTAATTCAACTTTTATAAAACCGCATAAATACTTTTACATTTTTTAATAAAATCAGATATGCTGGAAAAATCCATTATTGTACATAAAAAATTAAACAATAATTAAATCTCTAATTTTTTCTTCAGTGCAAGAGGTACAAACCAGGGTTTACACATCTAAAAATTACTTTGTCGCAACATATATGTAACCTTCACTTTGTTTTGTCTGAATTTCTGCTATTACTGCTTAGCCTGCATGCTTTCAAGGTCAATCTCAAGTTCAAGTCTACAATCAGGAAAAAAAAAAGAGTCAAATACATAGCACTCGCCCTGGTATCTTTATCAAAATATTTGTAAAATGTGAGCTTTCAAGAAAATAAAGGGGGATTGTGCACTCTTGTATCTGTGTATCCAGGATTTTCTTTGATGGGGGAAAGTAAGGGTACAAAGAACTATTTTGTATTCCTTTTGTGCTTTTCAATAATTTTTTACTAAATTAACCAAAAGTACAAGTAATGAAGACACCAAGCACAGCCATTCATAATCAGAATAATAAACTTAAAACCATGAATTCTAACCCAAGAACTTAGGTTATTTCTCTATACAATAATGCTATGAAAAAAGTGCAAGTACCCGAGGGGGGAGGGATAGCTCAGTGGTTTGAACATTGGCCTGTTAAACCCAGGATTGTGAGTTCAATCCTTGAGGGGGCCACTTAGAGATCTGGGGCAAAATCAGTACTTGGTCCTGCTAGTGAAGGCAGGGGGCTGGACTAAATGACCTTTCAGGGTCCCTTCCAGTTCTATGAGATAAGTATATCTCCATATATTATTATTAACCTAGCTACATTGCTCAGAGCTGTGAAAAATTTCACACACTGTGTGTAGTTAGGTTGACCTAACCCCCACTGTAGACGTAGACAGGTCAAAGGATGAATAATTCCATCCACCTAGGTACCCTCTCTTGAGAGGGTGGATTTACTACAGTGACAGAAAACCCCTTTCCATTGCTGTAGTGTTACACTACAATGCTACTGCAGTTGTACCGCTGTAGCACTTGTAGCATAGACACACCCGGAGTCTGCAACCTCTTGAAAATAAATCAAGAAATAAAGTCACCAAAGTATATTGTTATGAGCTGGATAAAACCTTGTTATGGGATAAATTAACACTTCTTTAAACTGGTGTCTGAATAAGTCCCTCATTTAAGCCAGCTGTAAGAAACAGTTAAAAGGCCACACCTAAAACAAAGTCTAATAAAGTCTGCCCAGACACTGGCCCCAGGTGGACGGAAGGTTTGCCTTGGTATTGTGATCATGGGTAAGTGAAAGGCAGACAGCACACACAGAAACTGAGAACAGACTGAGGCTATGTCTAGGCTATCACTTACGTTGATCAGGGGTGTGATTAAGCCACCCACTGAGCGCCATAAGTTACACCAACCTAAGCCTGGTGTGGAAAGCACTATGTCAGCGGGAGAGCTTCTCCTGCCGACACTCGTTGGGGGTAGATTAATTAAGTCGGCGGGTGAGCTCTCTCCCGTTGGCTTAGAGTGGCTCCACTAGAGATCTTACAACAGTGCAGCTGCATTGGTACAGCTGTGCCGCTGTAAGCTCTCTAGGGTAGCTACAGCCTGAGTGAGTGACACTGACAGGCTGAAGAAGCAGATGAAAGCGAGAGGCTCACCCTGGAAGACACGTGGGGAGAGGTTTTTGGGTTGGGTGCAGCAGTGCCGTATTATTGCAGGGTGGCAAATTTGCAGGGATGGAAGCTCCCCTGCGCGCCCCGCCCCCCCCGCTCCAGCTCACCTTCACCTCCTCTGCAAGCGCGCCGCCACGTCCTGTTTCTCTCCCCTCCCAGCGCTTGTGCCGCGAAACAGTTGTTTCGCGGGGCAGGGAGGGAGGGAGAAACACCGCACGCTGAGGGAAGAGGCGGGAGCGGGGATTTGGGGAAGGGATCCAATAGGGGAAGGGAGGGGGCAGAGTTGGGGTGGGGACTTTGGGGAGGGGGTTGGAATGGAGGCGGGAAAAGGGCGGAGTCGGGGCAGGGCCAGGGCAGCAATTATTTCCCGGCCTAGGGGCGGCAAAATTATTAATCCGCCACTGGGGTGCAGACTGAAAAGACTGCTGTTAGTGCTGTTAGCAAAAGAAGCTGTTTCCTGCTATTTGATTGCCTACGTGTTCAGAAAGACCGAACTTTGTACATTCGTTGTAAATAACCAAAATTGCATCAAAGAAACACTTGACTTTCACCAATTTGTACTCCCACCTGAACACTCACCAGCTCCCAAACTTTGACTAGCCACTTGGGGCAAAAAGGGGCAACAATACCGACTTCATTTTTGTGCATGACACAATTTAGCAGGACGTGGAATGGCTGCTGCTGCAGACCATTTATCAGCCAACCCTGGGCTTTACTGAGAATTATATTTTGAGCCTGGATGACAATCATGCTGAGTTCTAAACACACTGAGTCAGATTCTCAGCTGATGTAAATTGTCATAGCTCCTTTAAAGTCAACTGGCAACCTTTTTCTCTGAGAGCTTGTCGTCTTCACAGCAACATAACTTGAGTTTGTACACTCAAAAAACTGCATCTGAGCTAGCCTACCTCAAGTGAAAGCAATCACACTACCAAAAAACAATGGAGTTACACAGAGTGATTTGATTAGCAGTACAGAGTAATTGGGTTAACAGAGTGATTGGATTAGCTGCTAAAGACTTGTAACTCAAGCTGTTACATCCCCACAGCATTAGAAGCTTGAGCTTCAGCATCACTTGAGGTTCAAACTATCCCATCCCTCCCTGGCCCAAACAGGCTTGAGCATAAAACACCATTTAAGGCTAATGTCTACACCACAAAATTAAGTCGCTGTAATTAAACAGCTGTTGCATGTCCACACTATGCTCCTTGTGTGGGTGGAGTATATCCACAGTAGCAGCTCTTGCATTGACACAGAGAGCAGTGCACTGTGGGTAGCTATCCCACTGTGCATCTGGCCACAGGGTGTTTTGGAAAGGGTTTGCAATGCCTCATGGGGGCAGGTTCAATGTCACATGATGCATGTTTCTCAATCCCATCATTCCATGGGCATCCTACTAGGTTTTCAGCTGCTTTTCAACTGCCCTGGTCACCTGTGAGCCAGCCATGTGTGGCAGAAAACATGGATCCTCTACTGCTCTTCAGTATTGTACTGGCATTATAAACACAAGGCTATAAGAGGAGCTCAAGGGGGGGAGCTATTCACCAACACCCTGACCCCAGCATCCTCCTTGTAGAAGCGGCATGTCTGCGGCTCCGCATCAGAGGTGACTATTTGCCTCCCCTTGCCTTCTGCTATGCCTGCCGCAACTCTCTGAACTACTGTACGTCCCTATCGTAGCCCTTCTCCTCCATGCCTCAAGCATTCTGAGGCTGGAGCGGAGCTGCACCTGCACAGCCTCCTATCCCCACAGATCCAGGAGATCCACCACTTCCCGGGTACTCAAGGCAGGATACTGCGTGGAGCCAGCATGCTCAGCTGGGCAGTTGCTACGTGAGATCTCCACCCTGAGCAAACAGGAAGAGCAAGTTCAAAACTTCCCCGGGCTTTAACAGGTGAGGGGTGTTCACTTGTATACCAGGCTGCAGGGCAGGGGAATTCAAAATGGTAACCAGAACTGTCACGGTGGGCATTGTGGGATACCTCCTGGAGGCCACTTAGGGCGATGTAAGCAACGCAGTGTTTACACTGACACTGCGTCACTCTAACTACGTTGCCCTAAGCTCTATTCTTCTCATCAAGGTGGTTTTATTATGTCAGCGTAGCAGGCGAGTTAAAGCAGCCAGAGGAGCATTGCAGTGTGTACACCTCTAGTTAGGTCAACATAAGCTGCTTTATGTTGACAAAACTATGTAGTGCAGACATGGCCTAACTCAAGCTAGATATTTGTGAGTGTGGATGGGAGTCTAGGGGTAACACTGAAATTATAACTTGAGTTAATTGTTCTTGAAGACACACCCTTAGTCTTTAAGTCTGAAACTGCATCTTGAGGGGGCATCTCCCTTTTTTCACCTCATAATTTTTAAACAGTGTAAAGCACAATCAAACAAAAATATCAGCTTAAAACATGTGCCAGATTCTCCACCACATCTGAGCACTGCTCAGTGCATGGGAGCAGGAAATCTATACCAGTCCCAGTGTGAATTAGAACAACCTAGCACTACAGTAATTTACACTTAAGACCTTTTGAGCCTTTATGCCAATGGAGGATCAATGTGGCTGTGAGGAATCCTGCCACATGCTCTCTCTGCGCCTCTTCATCCCTCTCTATGCTGGGGATGGGATGGGTGGTTGGCACAAAAGCCAGCTCTGCCTGCTTTATACCAGCAGAGTTCACTGCTGGCCATTCATGGCCACAATCTGGCCCTGAGCTTCCAGTGTCAGTAACAATGATTAGTATGAAGGGATGAAACCCCTGGGGCTCAAAAATTTGGCTGCTGCAAGAAATCATAAAGTAGGAAATAAATATTTACAGTCTATCCCCATTCTTGTAGTACACCTGGGAGACAACATCTTATTTGATGTCCTCATCACATCGTCTTTGTTCCCGTCTCACCATAGGCTGTAGTTCTGTACCATCTTCATTGTTTTGGGGGGTCTTTTGCTTTCTGTTTTTCTCCCACTCTGTTAGCCTGGTGCTGTGATTCACAAAACTCTATAAAGCAGAAATAAAGGACAAGGTCACCCAGAAATTTAAACTGTTATATAAATCAACAACCTGGTGAAACACTGAAAAGGAGGACAATTAGCATGGAGCGTTAAACCTTAAACTAACTAGTTCCCAAGTGGATGACACTGGAAACTGGCTATGTCTAGTGGGATGATTACAGCTGTTGAGGAGAGGGCAGTCTCTCTACAACCTCCCTTACTGGAAAGCTTCATTTCCCTCTGGCCCCAAGGGCATGGCAAGTTGCACAGGGAGTTAAGGCCAGAGTTGGAGAGTCTGGCAGTAGGGATTAGGAAAGAACGTAGACAGCAGTGCAGTGCAGACAGGGAGTGGCTATAAATTGCCTTCTTGAGGCAAAAATTAAGTTAGACACATTCTGGCATTTGGCAAATAGTTTGTGGTTGACAGAAGGAGAAGTCTCTCATTTGAAGAAGGAAAAGTTTGGAGGGCAAGACTCCAAAAGGTTCCACACTTAGGAATGTATCGCTATTCATGACAGAACGTAAACACATGCATAGCCTTAAGCATGTGGTTAAATGCTGTCCTGAATGGGAGTGAAAAACCAAATAACTGTCTTCTTTTGGCCAAAGGGTTAAATTCATTTATAGGAAGTTTGGGTGTTTAAAAAAAAAAAAAAAAAAACTAGAATTCTGTGAACATTACAAGGAAAGTAACAACTACTATTTCAAATCAGATATTATGGCATTTTTTCTGACTAAATCCATCAAGAGCATCCATCCTGTATGGGTTATTCCGGCTGCGAAATTTATTTTTCATGAACCAGTAACACTGTCTTTGTCACATGGCATGTGAGGAAAAATGCAGACCTGGCCAGAAAGCAGCATGAAAGGAAAGAACATCTGTCTCTTTAACCTTCCTCTCCATATGAAAGAAAAGGTGTATGTACATTAAACATTCCACATGCCTTTGTAACTAAAGCACCTTTTACCATCACTAACTACTGAACATTTATTTAAACTAAAACTGTCTTCCTAATTCTTTGAATGATTCTCCATCATGTAACATCAAGAGTCTGGCACAGGAATTCCGTGGTACAGATAACAAACAACCCAGTGGAAAGAGACTGATTAAGTTTGCCAGACAAGGATGAGGCTTGTTCAAAATTGTAGTGTCTTCAGGGCTTACCATAACTAACTGAACAACTGCTGAAAACTAGAGGGAACATTTCTGGATGCAAGTTAAGATACATCTACATTTACATCTACATTTCTAGTTTTAGGTCTTCATGATGTAGATGGGGACTCTACATACTGGGTTACCTATTAATTTGTTAAGCACCAATAATGTATTTAACCTATGAAAAACACAAACGAAGATGGTCTTTATCCAGAGAGGCTGGGTCTAAAAGACTAAAGCAGATGCACTGGGAGACCCAATGGGAGGTGTTAACTTTATTATATAATTTGTATCCTTTAGTCCACATCTTCTAAGGAGCGGAAGAAGGCATTTATTGTGGGTTAGTTTTTATGGGTGTGGGGGAGGAGGGGAGAGCGAATCTTAGACACTAGAACACCACTTGATCAATACACTATTAAAACGTATTACTGAATTTATCTGCCTGCTAATGTGTCTACATTACTGTCACAAGAGTTTACCAGTAATTCTTGATCCATGAAGTATGGCCTCTCTGGAGATCCATCATTTGTTTCCATATCAATAGCAAAACAAAAGAACAGGGCATCCATGATCACTTCGAAAACCGACAAAAAGCTGTGGGCTACCAAGCAGGCAAAAAGTGCAACTAGCAACAGAGGAACTACCCATACGTGGAACTCACGATGGTAGTTAAATGCCATTAACCCTCCAAAGACTGTGAAACATACAACAAACACCTGTATAAAGGGGAAAAAAGGAAGCAGCTATATTACAATATGCACCAAAGCTATGGCAAATATTTTATTGGCTAATCTTTTAAAGACAATTTATTTCATAAAGGGGAGAGAAGGCTTGAGATCAATCAATTTGAAACCATCTAGCTATTCACACAGGACACGTGTGGATACACAGATTTATTATCATTGTTATTCTTGTCCTCCCATCCATATGTTTGTTATACCCACTTGTCATGCCTTGTCTTAAATTAGACTAAGTTCTAAGGGGCATTAACTCTCTCTTACTATGCGTTTGTACAGCATTTAGTGCAATGAGGCCTCTGGGTGCTTCTGTAATACTAATGAAGTAAATATAATAAGCAGTAAACTAAGTTCCTCCAACAAAAATGCAAGAACCTGATTCTCCTGTCACCAAGCCCATTTTACATCAGTGTAACTCCATGACTTCAACAGAGTCATACTCCTGATTTACTTAGTGTATGTGAAAAGAGAATCAGTCCCTAATTTTTGTCTTCATTACTACAGGATTGGGCCTATAGTTAGTCTATAATTAGGAGTTTATACATGGGCTTTGCAAATTACAGTCTCTTACTTTTCCTAGAAAAATGATGAAGTCTCCAAAACAATTAATGAATGCTATATTAGCAGAATTCTTTGCTAAAATAAAGAGAGCATCCTTTGCTGAGGTACAAAAATTTGTCCCATTGATGGCCGTTGTGGTGTATACATGCTGAAATGAGAGAATAAAAAGGTAATGTGAGTGACTGCAAAAAAAGGTAGAAATCTTTTAATCTGGAATTTACTATGGGAAAAGGAAAGCCTTAAAATATCTTTGGAAATACTGATGTTGTGCTTACACATACAGGAGTTATTTTGCATAGTCTTGCAGTTTAATTTCAAGCAAGTATAATAACTATGCCTGTAACTTAAAACTGACTTTTCACATAACTTCTGCGCTGGGTAAAAAAGGACAAAAGTAAAATTTGTATTTCTGAAACTACCTCTTTCCAATTTCTTTTGGAACGTTGCAGAGCCACTCCTTTGCTAATGAATAACTAATATGACATGTAAACTACAATGAAATTCATATCTGGACATATGCAATGCTGGCCACCTTTTCTATGTATATGCCAGCTAGAGTGTTGTGTTTGGTAAACTGTACAAATGAAACAAAAAGTAACACTTGTTATTAAACTTTTCACATTTAAAAATCAATGATTAAACAAGTTTTATATGTGATCCTTTCACTTACTATTGAGCCTTTGAATTTTCATGGAACCATAACCATAAAAAAACTG